CCCCCCCCGAGCGCACCTGACTTTTGGCTTTCTGAAACTCGCAGGTCGTGACCTGCTCGCCCAAAGCCCGCCGAACCACACGCACTTGAACCTGTGTCCGTTCTTGCCCCCAGAGAGGGCATATCTGGACCAGCTTGGGCACACACTCAAGCCTGAGCCATCGCCATCAGCCACCTGAGACACCGAGGGATTTGTTTCTCCATCCCACCCGGAGGGTTGGGTGTACTGTCTTTACTCCCCGAGGAGAAAACAGGAGGCAGACAGGTGGATTACGGACATCACCCCGCCCCCCAGGTGTGCCTAGTGTAGAAAACAGTCTTATTTTTAGCTGAAGAATAAAGAGACTACCCAGGAATGCTCTCTGAAAAGCCCCTGATCAACAGGTTTGTCTCTTCCAAAAGCGCCCTTCGCCCTAAAGACGCGGAAATGTCTGGCTCCTTTATGGAAGCCCCTGCCTGATCATCTGTTACCAGTCTAGTGGGGGGTGGAGAAAAAGCTTCTTTGTTTCCACCTGTGTTCTCATAACAAGCATGACCAACACTACAGAATAAGCAGAGCTTCAGTGACCCATATCTTGTCACCGGACATTTATTTCTTAACCTTAATAAAGTTAGGAAATAAATAAACAAACAAAACATACACAACACGCCATTTCCTCAGTTAGCTCGTTTAACCATAATGTTTTTCTGCAGATCTGTGCCAGACTGATCTTGTTTTGAAACAGACTGTTTCTTAATAGAGCCTCTTGAGTGTGAATTAACCTTACTTTGGGTCTCTTAGCTATCATTGTTTCTAGAGCTTATTCTGTATTTCTCTAACCTGTTATGAAGTTATAGTGAGCACTCAAAATCAGGAAGATATATGTATGATGCTGAATTGGGCAACAATGATCATAGGGCTGTATCTCTCTCATTTTACCAATGAGGAACATGTTTTTCAAATTCTTAATTTTAAACTTTATTTATTTAAAAAAATACCTAATAGCCTCAGAGTTCAAAAGTTTAAGGTACAAGAAGTTAAACAATCTGTAAATGTCTTTCCCATGCCTCTCTGGCTACCCACTTTCCTACCAGAAGCAACCAGTGTTACCCGTTTCCTGTGTATCTTTCCAGATAGTGCATATTTCAACAAATGCAAAATATTCTCTGCAAATTGTGGACTACTGTTTGGGCTATTTTTTCTTTTTAGCGCACTTTGGCGATCACTTTCTTGTGATCAGCTGAATCCCACTGTATAGATGTCACAGATTAACCTGGCTCCTACTGACAGAATAAGATTGTTTCCAACTTTTGCTATGACAGCGTTAAAGCTAAGGGTCTGAACATGTATTATTTTGCATGTAAGCAAGTTTTGCTGTAGGAGGAAGTCCCAGAAGTGGAATTGTTGGGTCAGAGTGTGCCCTTGTAGTTTTGATGACTGTCATTGTATTATTATACTTCCTTGGAGTGTTATCAATTTATGCTCCTACCAACAATGCATGTGACTGCCTATTTCTTTTTATACCCTTGCCAGCAGCATTTTATCAAACATTTTGATTGGTAAATCTGATAGGTAAAAACGGCTATCCAGTATAGTTTTATGGTTTTGTATTTCTCTGAGCTTGAGCATTTTTTATTATGTTCAGGAACCATTATAATTATCTTTTCTACGCATTATCTGTTTACAGAAAACTTTTATCCATATTTTTAATTGAGTCATTGGGCTTTTCCTATTGAGTTGTTAGAACTCTTTTTATACTAAGAACTTTAGCCTAATTTCTGTAACATGAGTTGCGAACATTTTTTCCTGTGATGTATTCTTAATAACATCTATTGAAAATAATGATTTTTGCATTAAATAATTGAAAGGCATATTTAATTTTATTTGGGAATGATGTCTTCCATCCATATATTTTTTAATAAGTATGATAGCAAGGCAAACAATGGCCATAGGTTTTCTGATTATCTGTTTTATTTCTCCTTTTTGGAGAATTTACAATCCCATGTGTATATTTTCATGGACAGAAAAATGACTCTCCTGCTTTTTAAATTTGAAGTACTTGTTAATTGGAATTTCTGACCCATTTATTAACTTCATTAAAATGTTGTAGTTTTCCCCATTGTTGCTCCTAAGTTGAAATATTCTTTCAAGGACTTTGTTTTCTCTAAATAGTGTACCTCTTATCAAGCTATCTTAAATTATGTGGCACTGACATTCTGTGTCCCAAGAACTCTAAAACTCTGTATTTTTATGCTTACTAATGTTTTATTTATAATAGTGAAAATCGAATAAAACTTAAATGACAAAACATAAGAGTGGTTTCATAAACTGAAGTACTGTGTCTAGAGAGTAGATCATGTAGTTAGCAAAGTATAATTAAGTATAGGGCATAACATAAAGCTCTGTGTTTTTTTTTTTTTTTTAAATAAAAAAATCAGTGTTAGAAGCACGAAGAACCCAAATTTGTCTGAAGGAGTCATGATGATTTCACTTTCACTGATGTTATTTTTGTGAAAATTAACTTTTTAAATACATATTTTTGGCTGTTTAGTACCTGGTACCAGCAGTAGCTCTCAGGATTTTGAGTTTGAGTTCAAAAGCTCTAACTTTTATTATCTGTCCATTTTTTGCAAGATTTTAGTGCTGTGTATTAAAAGGACAAAAGCTGAGACAGGGGCATGACGGTGTGGGTATAACTCAAGGCTGAATGGCATGAATGTGGTTGAAGAGTCAGAGAAGGAATCATTCATTTTGATGCAGCTTTCTGTTGGGCAGGTGGCATCCTGGATGATGAGACTATGGGGTCTTCTTAAGGAGACCATGCTTGAATCAGATTTTGATGGACAGGAATGATTTGGGTAGACCTAGTGCATGGTGGACAACACTTTAATCCTAAGGAATTGTACTTAGTGTTTTCACTAATATATTCAACTGATGCAGTGCCACATGAGGTGGTGGAGAAAAGTAGGGGAGATGAGACTGGCTAGGTGTTTTGGAGACCCATCTGGGGGCAGTGGTTGCCTTGAATGTCATACTTCTTGTTTGGATCTGTTTTTTCTATAGGCAGTGGAGACCCAAAAATGCCTTGTATAAGTGCCCAGGAATATTTTAGTGGGCAGGTAAATTGTGGTTTATTCATTTATTCTTACCATAAAATTCTTTCTATAGAGCAATAAAAATAAACTAGAGCTATAGGCAACAACATAGATGAATTTTACAAATGCAATTTGGGGAAGAAAAGCACCTTTAATAATATGTACAGAATGATTCAGTTTTTTGAAAGTTTTAAGATGTCCAAACTGAACTGAACTGAAACCTGAACAGTATTGATTTAGGGATATATAGATAAAAGACATTCTTATCTGTAAGATCAAGAGTAGAGGGGGAAGGTGTGATCACAGAAGGCATGTGGAAAGTTCTGGAGTGTAGGCCGTGTTGTTTTTTGACTTTGGTAGTGGTAGTTACCTGATGTTCAGGTTACAGCTATTTTAAAACTGTGGTTGTGTCTGCACGTTCTTATCTTTGATGTATTTTTGAAAAATACTAAACTCATAAATAATGCTTTAAACAATTATTATTTACTCGGAGCTCAGAGGAGTTTAGTAAAATTCAGACCATATAGTTCCTGTCTCAAGAAGCAGGGTTTCCACAACCTGAAATAGTCCGGTACTGGCAATGGTCCAGTAGTCATAGGGTTGGGTCTGTCTCACTTTACCAATGAGGGACATGTTTATAAATTCTTTTTCTTATCTTAAATTTTATGTGTTTAAAAATGGCTAATACAGCCTCATAGTTCAGAAGTCTAAAAGTATGAAGTTAGATGTCTTTCCCACGCCTCTCCTTGACTGCCTGTTTCCTCCCAGAGGCAACCAGTGACAACAATTTTAAGTACACCATCAAATAGAATGAACCCAGTGAAACAGAAAATGCCCCATTTGCTTTTGTTTTTGAAGAAATAACTTATTGCAGTATGCTGTCAGTAAAAACACACACATTCTAAGGGAACAGCCAAGTGTAAACACCTGTGGAATCAAAATGGCAATCAAGATCTAGAACATTCCACTTCTCTTAAAGATTACTTTGAGTTCCTTTCCCATCCACACCCACCCCAGGGATTGATCTGTTTTCTCTCCCTGTAGATTAGATTTGTCTTCCCCTAAGTTTCATGTAAATTATTCCTTATAATTTGATGTCTTTTGTGCCTGGCTTTGCTTACCCAGCGGAAAGCTTTGAGATTCAGCCCGATTGTGTTTATCAGTGGCTTGTTTCTCATTTTTGCTGACCTGTCTGCGTCTTCGGGGACATCTGGAGGGCTCAGTGATAAAGAATCCACCTGCCAATGTAGGAGACACAGGAGTCTCGGGTTTGATCTCTGGGTTGGGAAGAGCCCCTGGAGGAGGAAAGGGCACCCCATTCCAGTATTGCTGCCTGAAAAACCCCGTGGAGAGAGGAGCCTGGCAGGCTGCAGTCCATGGGGTCGCTCAGAGTCGGACCGGGCTGAGTGACTGAGCATAGCGCAGCGCTGCTGCTTCAGGGATGCACCGCAATGTGTTTATCCATTTGCCAGCTGATGTTCTTTTGGGTTCTTTTCACGGCTGGCTGTTATGAGTGAAGCTATTGAAAAAATTCAGGCACAAATCTTTGCATGACATGTCTGGATTTGGTGAAAGGAGTGACAAGCTCTCCCTGGGCTTTGTGTGGCCATGCGGTGATTGCCTTGGATAGCAAGGGCTGGGGGAGAAGCTCCCTCTTCTTGTGCTGCTTGATGGCCATGAAATTGAGTCCTTCACGATGCCGCTGAGAAAGCTGCTCTGATGTGATTTAGTCTTGGACCCCGGAGAAGGCAATGGCACCCCACTCCAGTACTCTCGCCTGGAAAATCCCATGGATGGAGGAGCCTGGCAGGGTGCAGTCCATGGGGTCGCTAAGAGTTGGACACGACTGAGCGACTTTACTTTTCCTTTTCCTTTCATGCATCGGAGAAGGAAATGGCAACCCACTCCAGTGTTCCTGCCTGGAGAATCCCAGGGATGGGGGAGCCTGGTGGGCTGCTGTCTATTGGGTCACACAGAGTCGGACACGACTGAAGCGACTTAGCAGCAGCAGCAGTCTTGAACCCGCAGTTGGAGACCATGCATGCAGAGAAGTCTGTTCTGGGCCTTTTTCCTCAGAGCATCTGATGCTGCGTGATAACAGTACCCTCCACTTATACAATTAGTTCATTTGCAAGAAAGTGATTAGTCTGAGGTGATGACACAAGGGTGCGCCTGGCAGGAGACCTTGAGTCCTCTGACTTTTGCCATGTCTCAGACAGG